CTCGTGGCAAAAATGTTATTTTGGCACGAAATTTTTTTCTCGTAGCTAAAATATTGATTTTGCCACGAATTATCAATTGTGGCAAAGGTATGTTCTTTTTCCACGTAACTATTTTTGTGGCAAATCTATTAATAATTTGCGACGATGCTTTCTTTGTGGCAAAATAATATCTTTTGCCACGAATTTTCGGCCATTATGTTGAAATGTCATTTTTACAACGAATTCATTTTCATGACAATTGGGAATTCTTTCGCCACGTAATTCATATTTTTCGTAGCAATTGGGAATCCATTTGCCACATAATTCATATTTATTTTAACTATTATTATTTATTTTTTTATAATTCTTTACATAATGAGTCTAGAAACACCATATCCCCACCTACATAAGCAAATTAATTGTTGATAAAACTCCAAAATGACATTTTCGATCTTAAATTTGACCTTTTTTAAATTTCACTATTTGTCATTCAAAAAAATTAAAAAAAAGTATCAAACATTCTTATATTGAATTTTAATTAAATTAATCAATATTTACTTTCATACTGCAATTTTATTAAGTAATGAAAACTTAAAGGTAGAATAAAAAATATAGATCTTATATCAAATCTTGAATAAATTTACAACTACAAAATTTTACTTCAATTTAGTAATGCTCCGTTCGATAGGAAAGGAAAAAATTGAAAGGAATATAGAGAAGAAAGGATAACTAAGACATCCCTAGGAAAGAGATCAACCGTTTTCTTCTTTTTATTCGATTGAATGGAAGATAATGAAAAAAACTAACAATTTAATTTAATCGGTAGAATAAAAGGAAAGATAAATTTTTAAGTTATTTTTACCATTAAATCTATCTCTTACTTTATTTATGAGATTTATTAAATATTTATGAAGGATGATGTAGTAATTTAAAACTTCTATAATATGTTTACTTGTTTTCTCTCTTATCTTCCCCCCATATTTGTGTGGATGAAAATTTATGAAGGAGGAAGGATTACTCATCCTTCCTATTATCATTTCTTTCCTTATATCATCTCTACTGAACGAAGATCGACATTTGTTCATTCCTTCCTACTTTCCTTCCACCCCTTTTCTTTTCTTCCTACCGAACATAGCATAAGGGTATAAATAAAAGATTTAAGAATTTTGGAATTAAATGGAAAAAATATCTCAAAAGTAGGAATTGATTGTATTTTTTTTGGCAAAAGTGCAAACAACCCCCCTAAACTATCACAAATCGGCATTTTACCCCCCTAGACTACAAAAATGAACAAATTAGTACCACAACTATCTAAATCCGTGCAAGTTAACCCCTAAAGCTCAATTCCGGCCACTTTCTGGCCGACTTCATTGTAAATTTACAAAACTACCCATTGCAATTGAGGAAAAAAAAAATACAAATAAATAATCAGCACCTCATGTGACCTAAATGTCGTCTCTCTATTTGTCGACAAATCTGATCGGCTTCAGAAGATGGTCTCCATTGCATCGGAGGCTGCGAAATAGAGCTTATTGATTGTTAGATTTGTTTCCGAGGGTGTCACCATAGCTGTGGATGGTGGCCATCCAAGAAGTATATTGATTGCTGAGAATCCGGCGAAGAACGATGATGGCGATGGCGAGACTAAATCGGCGGTAAGGACTAAATCGGCGATGTCCAATTTCAGGTAAGGATTCTTGGTTCGGTCGGCTGGTGTAGTGATGGCGATGGCGGCATGGGCCGGCGATGGACTGTGGACATGTCGGTTGTGACCTTGCGGCGCGGCACTGGCGGGTAAGGAGAACTCGACTGTGAGCTTTTCGTTGGTGAGTTCGGCTGTGATGAACTCGTGACGCGGCACCGGGGGCAAGAATTAGCTGGCTAGCTTTACCGGTTTTGACCCAAGCGGCCGACAATAATTATTCCCCTGTTAATCCACCAAAAGAGACCATCATGAGCCATAGGAATGAAAACCCTTATTATGTATTGGGTCACAAGACCCCTAACATTCTTTATACATTGGGTCTTAAATTAGGGCAAGGACAATTTGGCACTACTCATTTGTGCACTGAGGATTCTACGGGTATTGATTATGCTTGTAAATCTATTTCCAAGAAGAAGCTGATTTCGAAGGAAGATGTGGAGGATGTTAGTAGGGAGATTCAGATAATACACCATTTGGCAGGTCACAAGAATATTGTGACGATTAAGGGTTCCTATAAGGACACTTTGTATGTTCACACTATGATGGAACTTTGTGCCGGGGTGAATTGTTTGACCGGATTATTCAGAGGGGGCATTACAGCGAGAGAAAAACAGCTGAATTGACCAGGATTATTGTAGGAGTTGTTGAGGCGTGCCATTCTCTTAGGGTTATGCATAGAGATCTAAAGCCTGAGAATTTCTTACTGGTTAACAAGGATGATGATTTCTCCCTTAAAGCCATTGATTTTGGATTGTCAGTTTTCTTCAAGCCAGGTAAAAGAGAAAAAAGACGACTTTTTACTTTTTTCTTATGGTATTTCCTTGATTAGGAGCATATTAGTGAATTAAAGAACACACTTTTTTGCTATGTATTTTTTAAAAAAATTCTATGTTCTTAGATCTATAATGTCCTTTATTTTATTTTTAAAGGATTTCTTGGGTTTTTTTTTTCGTGAATTCCTTCCGGCCATGCTGCACTTCCGGCCGACTTCATTGTAAAAATAAAAATGAATAAATAAATAATAGTATTAATGAGTATTCCAGAGCAATTTTGGAATTAAAAGAAAAGGACTGCACTTGTGGGCCGGAAAGTTGCCGGAATTGAGCTTTAGGGGTTAACTTGCACGGATTTGGATAGTTGTGGTACTGATTTCTTCATTTTTGTAGTCCAGGGGGGTAAAATGCCGATTTGTGATAGTTCAGAGGGGTTGTTTGCACTTTTTTTTTTAGTTGTACTTTCAGGGTTTTAATTCTTAAAGATATAAATCTTAAAACAACCCTCACTCTAACCAGATACAATATTGTTCGCTTTTGGGTACTACTATAAGTTAAGCACGCTTAACTCTAGAGTATGTTCTGATGGGTTCACTACTCCAGGTTAAGTACGCTTAACTCTGAAGTTTTGATAGGTTTACGGTTTTAAAACGCATTGTGTCATAGAAGGCTGTTGAATCTACATATAACACTTACCTCATCCACACCCAGGTGATGTTGGATTGTGCAATTGTAGCTCTCTCAGTGTGGTATACACACCCGCCCACAAGGTCGCCACAATCACTCCCTTTGGGGCTAACGTCTTCTAAGGGGATTACCCATCCTGGTACTACTCCAGGTTAAACAGGCTTAACTCTGGAGTTCTGGTGGGTTCACAACCATTACGTCTTTAAAACGTGTGTGCCATAGAAGGGTATTGAATCTACATATAACACTTGCTCCATCCACACCCAGACGATGTGGGATTGTATACCTGTAACTTGCCCAATGTGGTAGCCTACTTGTGCCACCTCACACATACCCGCCCACAAGGTCGCCACAAATCCGTTAATATAGTCAAATAATAAAACATAGTAATCCCACCTCTGCCATTTTTAGTCATTAATTAAGGTAAAATAGCACAATAATATAAGTTTTATAATAGCTATATAATGAATAAACTTAAATTGGTGTTATTGAGAATAAGACTTAATGGTACTCTGTTAGACATAATTAAACAAAACCAAATGTAGAAACATTAATAAATTAAATATAACGTAATAATTCCACTTATGTTCATTTGACTCAATTTTATTGATGGATCGACGTAAAAGTGTACAATAATATAAGTTTTTAAAGAGATAGTGTATAATACTTCTTATATTATTGCCAGTTAAGAGAAAATACTAAGACTGTTAGTTTCACCAAATGTTATAGCCTAGTGGTACTTCCTTATCTTTCAAAGTGTTTAAGTTCAAATGAGGGTAGATGTGTGTGAGTATGTTCCTTACCATGAAAAAAAGAAGTATATTAGTTGAATTTATTTATTAATTAGTGTGTAAAATATACACACACTTATTGATACTTAAAATACTTTAAAGATGGATTTCTTTATGTTTTTATAGATGTTTGTCTTTTCCAAAAAAATTATTTTCTATTAAATTACCCATCATATATGCAATCTAATTTTTTAAAATTAATAAAAACCATATATTAAAAATAAGAGTACCTATAATTAGAGTTTATAATTATTTTTAAAAAAAATTAATTTACCTAAATATATGAAAATTAGTTTGATTTGTATGATATTTATAGTTCACATCACACTATTTAACAAAATAGTTTAATTCTTTAAATAACTTAAAAATATTTTAAATATTTTATAAAATATTTTTCAAAAAATTGGACTAAAAATATTTCCAAATAAGTTTTTAATTTTTAATTTTTTTATTGTTAAAAGCTCCAAATTTTCACTTTTTGGGAGCTAAACGACATAAATACAATTTCTCATTCTTTCTTCATGATATTTAAATAGTTTATAAACTAAGTATATTTGCATAATTACCTTTTTTTTTTTTATATTTTTATTGTTAATTGCACTAAAGCGCCAAAGTATATATCGCGCAAAATTTCACTATTAATTTGGAAGGAAAACTCCATATGGAGATGTCAAAACATATCCTATTCAATTTTCCATTTTTCATTTTCAACGCAGTAATATGATGTTCTTTTTTCTAAAATTTGAAATTTTGGAATATATAAAATTAGTTTTTGCAGAATTTATAATTTATTATTATTATTTTTTTTCAAGATTTATTATTTAAATTGATATTTTAAACTATATAATTTTTTTTTTGATTTGAAATTATAATTATAATACCCATCATAACATTTAAAAACTAGTTTATTTAAATATTAAAACAAAATCTAAAAAAAATTGTACTAAAATAATTCAGGAAAAAAAAATTGTACTAAAAATATTTATAGGTAAGCTTATTTATTTATTAGTGTGTTTTTAATTTTTTTTTCACACGTTTTTTAGTTTGTTTAAGCGGCAAAAATTAGTGCCTAGAAAATTTTTAATTTGTTTTGACAGGCGTGTAGAAAGATTCCCGCACCACAATTACGAAAAAAAAAAAAACCACGACGACGTTGTATTAACTCTAAGGTAAGCCAAACGACATAACTTTCGGTTTAGCCCGTACTCTATCTCATACTCAAAGTTCTCTCTCAACCATGGCTGCCGCTGTTAGACACCACTGAATCAACGTTTTAGTCCTATTTTATTGACCAAATCTCCAAAGCATACTAGATCGACGTCTGTCCCGCCGTTAGGGTTCTGGATCTGATCGCTCTCTTCTTCAATCTTTCACTTTCTCTATACTGGTAAGTGCTCTTACTCGATATTGATGATTTTATGTACAAATTAGCAGATTTTGAGGTTTTAATTTGGTGTTTAGGGTTATGTAGAATCAAACTTGCCAGAAGATGAATCCTAAATTTGATCAATCAAATGTTTTCAAATATAAGTGGGTTTCAAATCTTAGAAAGATACTGCTTTCATGACAATGAATTTCTCTTCTTAGTTATTATTATTATTATCTTCAATTTTTTTTTTTTTTTGGTACGTAGAAATTATACACTATATTTAATATCAAGGAACCTTACTTGATGATTCGAAACAAATCCCCAATATTTCATTTAGTGTTAATGTAGATTATTGAATCAATTTGAAGATAGATGGAGGTTTGGCTGAAAAAAAAAAAATTGCAGAAAAGATAACAGGGTTCGCTCATGCATGTCTGAAACAATTTTTAATTCTCCAACAGTTTCACCTGATATCTGTAGAAGTGACCACATTAACGACTTATTAATGTTCAATTGATGCTGTTTTTAATGCCTTGTTAATGTTCAATTGATGCTGTTTTTCCAATGACCAACAAGGTTGTAGTACTCTTTTTAATACCAACGTTATCAACTACACAGCAATCTTTTCTCCAAATCATCCCATGTAATAACTACGGAGTAGAATTTAGATGCAAAACAGACCAAGAGAACCTAATTAACTGTCTCAATGTACTTTGAAAATAAAAGCTGGTTTAATAATACTAGAACTTTTATAAGAGCAAGCAAAAAAAATAACAAACGGAGGTAATTCAAGAGCAGGGGCAGAAATCAGATCTACCTGTTACTCTTCTACAAATATCAAGTGTAGCCTTTGCTAGTAATTCACTTACCAGTTTATCATTCCTCGAATGCTCCAACCCTTTCAAAGTGTGATTGCGCTTACTTCTATTCTTCAAGATCTGAACTCGATTGTAGAAGAATTAAATCCTGCTTCTCATCTGGAATATCTGAATCTTCAGTATAGCTCCGATTCCGATGAGATAGAGAACAACACCACTAAATCACTCATGAATATATGTGTATGCTCTCATAAATAAATTCAGAATAATTAGATTTGATTTTCTTAATTTTTCCTCTCTAAAAAGCTTTCTCAAAATATAGAATTGATTTTCCCTAAAGCTCTCTCTCAACCAATGTATATGACATGGTTTATATAGAGTTTTGTAAGTCTTAATCCCTCATCAAATATGATAAGATTCGTGCATAGGACTTAAAAAGAGGTTGGAATCGAAAAGGAAACTTCAGCAAAAAGGAAACTAAAATCCAAGTGTTGCTAGAAGTCCTTGAACCGGTTCAGCCATCTTGAACCGGTTCAAGATGGACAGTAAAGAATCCCACGGATTCTTTAACCGGTTTAACCCTCTTGAACCGGTTCAAGATGGTCAGTCTTGAAATTTTAGTATTTTGATGATGTTTAACCTGTTCGATGGATCTTGAACCAGTTCAAGATGGACAGAATGTAAAAACTTGTTCCGAACCTTTCAAAACCCTTCCTAAATGTTCTCACTACCTCTTAAAATTTCTTATAGCATTGTTCTCATTATCTCGGAGTGTTGTATCTCATGAACACTTTAACTTCTTCAAATCCGCATCCGATCTTCAATCTTCAAAATTTTGAACCAAAAATTACAACTCGATAGGACTTGTTTTGATATCGAAATTAGCCAATTACAAAATATATCTCACAACATCACAACACCATAATGTTGTCCTCACTCCTTCCTTGGCTGGTATGCTGTGCTTCTATCTGTATGTGGTGACATCCGGAGGGAATCCACCACCAAAGAAGTTCATCTGCCGCTGTCTCATCAGAGTGAGAACTCCAAGAGGTAATATTGTAATTTTGACACTTAGGAAATTTTTTTATAAAATAACAAGTTTTATTTCTTTTGATGTCTTCTTTGTAATCTAATTGGGTCTTGATTACCAAAATTGTGTTTACATTGCAATTGATTTCTCCACTGGGGGCGCAGTTTATATTGAAGCTTAAATTTATCAAATAGATTGTAGGGTTGAAATTAATTGCATTTATTTCACGTAGTCATTTGGAGGATCGAGTCCATCCAATACACAGGAATTAGAAAGTAGTCACTGTGAAATGTTGTAATTTTTCTTGAGTTATAATTTGGATGTGCAACCTAACTAGGACAATTTGGGAGCTGGCCATGAGTCCATGACATATAAACAATTGAAAGCAATAATATTGGAGGTTTAAATCTGATTAAATCATCATAGGTCTAGCCCATCTCAGCTGAGTCTTGTTGCTAAAGTTTCTATTAGGTGGGTTCATATCTTTTATAGCAAGAGAATCTAACTTCCTGCAATAGGTTACTTCCGCCTATAGGTAAGATACTGCAATATTATAGAGGAAATGAATCCCTGTAGTTTTGTGGTGAAGGCATACAAAGAGACTGGGTTTGGTCAAAAATAAATAAATAAAAAATTGAAAAAAGGGAAATGAGAAAGGTTAAGAAATAAAAAAATAATAATAAAAAAAAGGAACAATAAAATCTTAGTTATGCTAATATTGGTGAAATTTGGGCTTTGCTTGGCCCTGATTTTCTAGGTCTTGTTGAGGACATGTTGCCTTTTCGAAATATCAGCAACGTACTATAAAGTTCATTGAAGCCCAAGTCACAGAAGTTACCATTCTACAAGCTACAGACTTCTATCACGTTGATGGGACTTAAGCTGGGCTCAGGCCCATTAAGCTGAGTGAGCTTCTGTTGGAGTGCATAATTTATATGTGGAAACACCAAAGGGAACTATTCCGATAGGAATGGCAAAGTACTCTACCCATTTAGAACATTTTTGAGTTATTGTGTCGCGCAACTCGAAACTCTTCGTCTCAAATTATAAAACTCAATAAATTGGATTTATGAATCCAATAAATATGTAAATTATTACCATTGAATTTTTATTTGTTTTTGATCCATTTGTTATTATATTATTTCACTAATCAATCCAACCAGCATAAGCTGGTTCGGTGTTACTTCACTAATTTATTCCAAATGTTCTCATCCTGATCAATCTAACTGACAACAATATTCTCTGTTAATTTCCTATTTTGATTCAATATTGTGACTTCCTATTTAATTTCAGCAGTCTGGTCTTAAACAATATATAGCATTTTCTTTTGATCTAAATAGGATAGAACAGGAATACCGAATATAAAAACTATTTAATGCTATTGATTCTATTAATGTCATAAATAGCATTAATAGAATTATTATTTACGTTTCTTGGTTGGTTTATTGGCTTGTTAATGAAGAAAGAACACAGGGAAAGGGAAAAATAAGGAAGGGGCGACCAAAGACTTTGAAGTTCATAATCCAAACAAGAAACTATGAAAGCACCCCACAAAGAAAATCTCAACGTACAACTAAGTACGCTGTGTATATAATTATTTCTCTGTCCGACTCTTCCAATCACATTAGAGCTTTGTGGGTAGTCAACGAACATTACAAACCGCTAGTCTACGGTGAACCAAACCAAACCCAAGTGCAATATATATGAGAAACCAAACTCTATTTCCATAAAGAGAGACGCTCACTCGTAAACGTCTAATCTATATATATATATATATAACCAAGCTCTATTTCCACAAGGAGAGACAACTTCTCAGTTGAAAAACCAAGCTCTATTTCCATAAGGAGAGACAGCTTTTCAGTTGAAAACCAAGCTCTATTTCCATAAGGAGAGACGCTAGAAGCTTCTCAGTTGAAAGACCAAGCTCTATTTCCATAAGGAGAGACAGCTTCTCAGTTGAAAACCAAGCTCTATTTCCATAAGGAGAGAAACCAAGCTCTATTTCCACAAGGAGAGACAGCTTCTCAGTTGAAAAACCAAGTTCTATTTCCATAAGGAGAGACAGCTTCTCAGTTGAAAACCAAGCTCTATTTTCATAAGGAGAGACGCTAGAAGTTTCTCAGTTGAAAAACCAAGCTCTATATCCATAAGGAGAGATAGTTTCTCAGTTGAAAACCAAGCTCTATTTCCATAAGGAGAGACGATAGAAGCTTCTCAGTTGAAAAACCAAGCTCTATTTCCATAAGGAGAGACAGCTTCTCAATTGAAAACCAAGCTCTATTTCCACAATGAGAGACAACTTCTTAGTTGAAAAACCAAGCTCTATTTCCATAAGGAGAGACAGCTTCTCAGTTGAAAACCAAGCTCTATCTCTCGTCTCTCCTTATGGAAATAGAGCTTGGTTTTCAACTGAGAAGCTGTCTCTCCTTATGGAAATAGAGTGTGGTTATATATATATATATAGATTAGACGTTTACGAGTGAGCATCTCTCTCCTTATGGAAATAGAGCTTGGTTATATATATATATAGATTAGACGTTTACGAGCGTCTCTCCTTATGGAAATAGAGCTTGGTTTTCAACTGAGAAGCTGTCTCTCCTTATGGAAATAGAGCTTGGTTTTTCAACTGAGAAGCTTCTAGCGTCTCTCCTTATGGAAATAGAGCTTGGTTTTCAACTGAGAAGCTGTCTCTCCTTATGGAAATAGAACTTGGTTTTTCAACTGAGAAGCTGTCTCTCCTTATGGAAATAGAGCTTGGTCTTTCAACTGAGAAGCTTCTAGCGTCTCTCCTTATGGAAATAGAGTTTGGTTTTCAACTGAGAAGCTGTCTCTCCTTATGGAAATAGAGCTTGGTTTTTCAACTGAGAAGTTGTCTCTCCTTGTGGAAATAGAGCTTGGTTATATATATATATAGATTAGACGTTTACGAGTGAGCATCTCTCCTTATGGAAATAGAGCTTGGTTTTCAAATGAGAAACTGTCTCTCCTTATGGAAATAGAGCTTGGTTTCTCATATATATTGCACTTGGGTTTGGTTTGGTTCACTGTAGACTAGCGGTTTGTAATGTTCGTTGACTACCCACAAAGCTCTAATGTGATTGGAAGAGTCGGACAGAGAAATAATTATATACATAGCGTACTTAGTTGTACGTTGAGATTTTCTTTGTGGGGTGCTTTCATAGTTTCTTGTTTGGATTGTGAACTTCAAAGTCTTTGGTCGCCCCTTCCTTATTTTTCCCTTTCCCTGTGTTCTTTCTTCATTAACAAGCCAATAAACCAACCAAGAAACGTAAATAATAATTCTATTAATGCTATTTATGACATTAATAGAATAAATAGCATTAAATAGTTTTTATATTTGGTATCCCTGTTCTATCCTATTTAGATCAAAAGAAAATGCTATATATTGTTTAAGACTAGACTGCTGAAATTAAATAGGAAGTCACAATATTGAATCAAAATAGGAAATTAACAGAGAATATTGTTGTCAGTTAGATTGATCAGGATGAGAACATTTGGAATAAATTAGTGAAGTAACACCGAACCAGCTTATGCTGGTTGGATTGATTAGTGAAATAATATAATAACAAATGGATTAAAAACAATTAAAAATTCAATGGTAATAATTTACATATTTATTGGATTCATAAATCCAATTTATTGAGTTTTATAATTTGAGACGAAGAGTTTCGAGTTGCGCGACACAATAACTCAAAAATGTTCTAAATGGGTAGAGTACTTTGCCATTCCCTATCGGAATAGTTCCCTTTGGTGTTTCCACATATAAATTATGCACTCCAACAGAAGCTCACTTAAGTCCCATCAACGTGATAGAAGTCTGTAGCCTGTAGAATGGTAACTTCTGTGACTTGGGCTTCAATGAACTTTATAGTATGTTGCTGATATTTCGAAAAGGCAACATGTCCTCAACAAGACCTAGAAAATCAGGGCCAAGCAAAGCCCAAATTTCACCAATATTAGCATAACTAAGATTTTATTGTTCCTTTTTTTTTTTTTTTTAAAATTAAAAATTAAAAACCTGACCTAACTCAAATATCAGTCTTCGAAAAAAAGCCCTAACACAAAAATCTTCTTTGATCTGTACATCTCGCTACAAAGGGGCTTTCCATCGTCGTCTAGATCTCTGTCTCTCCGGTCGCCATCGTCGTCTTTGTTTCCAGTCGCCATCGTCATCTCTCTCCGGTAACCATCGTCATCTCTGTATCCGGTTACCAAATTAGGATGGGGTTACGAAATTTATGTATTTTTGTGTTAGATCTTCATTATTATTATTTTTAAAAAACAATATCCCTAATTAGGCGAAGTTTTTTTTGGAAAATCAATTAAAACAGAGAATTAGGGTTACGGTGAATATATTTGGAATTTTGGCTTTTCTTTTCTGGAGTTGGGTTTTTCGATCAATAATTTTCAATAACAAGATGGTCTGATTGAACCTTTTCGTTTATCATACGTCTTTGAACCAAATAATTGTGATTTCGTAAGTTGAATGTGATTATTGATTCTCTTTGATTCATACGAATTAGGCGTTCTTGATTGATAGCCTTAATTGACTAGGCTCTTTTTCCATTTTTTCTTCCTGATCTCAGTATTATTATTTTATTATTATTTTGATTTGTGTCTACCGGCGTCTGAAAGTGTTTTTTAATTATGTAAATAATTTTCCCATTTTACAAAATTTTCTGTATACACTGTTCAATTGTTTCAATTTTAGGTATTTAATTTTCTGTTTGTTTGATTTTGCAAGTTTATCTTTCACTATGTTGTGCCCTGGTAGCTTCTGCGGTTGGAGCATATCTCCATATCCTCTGGAACATTGGTGGCCTTCTTACTACGCTCGGATGCATTGGTTGCATCGCTTGGCTTCTCGCAACTCGTCCTAATCTAGAGGTAGTTTACCTGATTTGTGTTTTGCTGTGTATGTTACATTACATGTGCAAGAATCAAGATCTTTATTTATAATTTTCTCTTGGTTTTAATTTGTGTCATTTATCGATTTGCGCAGCAAATAAGGGGCATCTATTGGTCCTCTGATTCACTTGGCCATTGAAATTGATCCAAGGTATATATATATATATATATAGAATTTACACGGTTATTCTTCTACATGTGGTTCTGTAATTTGTGTAGGCTGTGAGGCTTGCTTCTCTGTGCTTCAAATTATCAGATGACATGACTTCGATTCTTCACGTGGTTCTGTAATTTGTATAGGTTGCGAGGCTTGCTTTTTTTGTGCTTCAAATTATCAGATGACATGAATTTGATTCTTCATGCTTCCAAATATAAGACTTGTTTACGCACTGTTTTTCCAGTAATACTAGTATTTACTTGTTTCTGCAATTTGTTGGTAGTTATATTGCTGTTTCATTTGGAGGTGATGGAATGTGTACCTAAAAATCTTTGCTGTTTGAGGTTGAATTTCTCTTTTTTTGTAATTCCCTCTTTTATGTGGCTATTTTTTGGACTATAAATCACAGCTACATTGTTTGGATAATCTTGTGCTGGTGTAGTTATTTTTCCATTTATTGTATTATTTTCTCATGGTTCTGTAATTTGTATAGGTTGTGAGGCTTGCTTCTTTTTGTTCCAAATTATCTGATAACATGACTTCACCTCTCTATGCTTTCAAATATATGTCTATTTTAAACTCAAGTAATACTAGTAGCATTTACTTGTATCTACAATTAGTTGGTAGTTTATGTTTTGCTCTTCCATTTGGAGGTGGTGGGGATTGTATCTAAAGTACTTGAACTTAATGCTCTCTACTTCTATATGATACACGCTTGATCCTATGTTTCAGAATTTTGGAGAGTGATGTAGAGGATCTAGATGCCATGCAGTTGTGTCATATTGATGTCAATATAACTATTTGATACCTTGGAGCGAAAAAGGAAAGAAGTGCTAAAAGGGGGAAAAGGGAAGTAGTATAGAGTTTTATATTTTCCGAGGGGAAAAAAGGAGTTTTATACTTGTGTAAAACTGTAAGTTTACTTGAGTTTTAACTGGTATTAGTTTTATACTAGGGACAAAATCGAACAAAGAAAAATAAATTTTGAAGGTTTTTTTTTTTTTTACTGTAACATGCATAAAATATATTATGGGGACCAAAATAGAATTCTCCTTTTTTTAATTGATTACTTCTTATTTAGCATGTTAAAAAGTTTTAAAAAGTGAGTATTTAGCATGTTAAAAAGTTTTAAAAAGTGAGAGTTGAAATACTAGGAAGCTTATTTCCTGTTGGGGTTCAGGTCTTTTCTTTGCAATGGAGCAAATGATGATGAATTTATTGATATAATATCCGAATTTCTGCTATGAATAATTTAATTGTGATATTTACATAATGAAGAGTTGAACAAATCCTTTGATGGCTAATTTAGCCAGAAAACAGGTTGATTATAGTGTGTGTAAATAGTTTGGATTTTAGAGAGCAGCAGGGGACTTTATTAATCAGATAAACTTTCATCATGGACATGTAACAGTAGCCAGCTTCTGACATCTTCCTTTGTGTTTATTTAACACTAAATAACAAACTCCCTGGCAGAAAAAGCAAGATTTGTATAGAACATGAATTGGCCAACGTCATTTTCTTTGTTAAATAAAGAAGCCCCCCCCCCCCCCCCCCGGCGCGGCTGCGGTGAGCGCAATTTGGGAGGGTTGTGTACTTTCAATCACCTATTAAATGAGCCATGTTTAAGCTTTAATCTTGGGGATTATTTCCTTGACACTGAACTTGCTTTGCTTGAGTTAAGGCTATGTTAATATTTGCTTTACTTGAGTTAATATAATGCTTTCAATGTACATTTATTATGATGCTTGGTTTAATTTTGGCAACTTTACAACTTGCTGGACATTAATTCTCTTAATTCAACTATTACATCTTTGTAGGTCAAAACTAGGATTGCGGGTTGCGGTTGGCGTTACTTTTTTTTGTTGCCGCTATATTTTTTGTATGGCTCATGAAGAAGTTGCAAGAAGTTGCAAGAAGATATGAAGAATTTTTGTTTTATTTTGGTTAAGTAAATATATAAGGTGTGGATCATGTACTTATTTGAAATTTGTATATGGTTAATTTTTGTATAAAACAATGATTTGTAATTGGTTATATATATATATGATGTTATTGGTCAGTTGTAAATTATTTTGGTTATGATACTATTTTTTATTTATTTAGGGTTTGCTTATGGGTCCTGCAAGGCTAGTAGTAGGGAGGGAAAAAAAAAAGGCTTCAAATGGGCTACAATATTTTTTTTTTTTTAAAAAAAAAAAAAAAATTATATAACACTTTCTATCACGGTTATGAACCGTGGTAGAAAGTTTATTACTTTCTACCACGGTTATGCACTATGGTAGAAAATTTATTACTTTCTAAGAAAATAGACTTTTTATCACAGTGTATAACCGTGGTAGAAAGAAAGACTTTCTACCACGGTTTTGCACCGTGGTAGAAAGTCGACTTTTTACTAATCTTTTCCACTGTGGTAAAAAGTCATTTTTCTTGTAGTGAATTCTCGCAAGTTTTCGTCTCCTTTTTCAATGATGATCATGGAAATTCTGAAAAAGAAGAATGTGCCGATTCTTCCAAGGGCTAAACATAAGCCTATCATGACTGAGTTAGACCCTCATGCTTTGAACAAATCAAAAACTACTCGGGAGAATGCTAGAAAGGCTAGGAGATCTGTTGATAAGGGGTCATCACAAATTTCAGATATTACTCAGCTTTTTGCTTCAAAGGGAGTTTTCATGAAAGCTGATGCCAACCTCATGTATTCCCATCTACTTCAGCATCAGAATTTCATTATTTGAGAAGATGATGGTTGAGATTCGAGATCTCAAACTATAGATGACTCAGCTGAGAGGACAGCCATCTGGGGTTCCAGATGAGGATGTCTACAGGCTTGTGCCTCCAGATCCGTCTCTGCAAGCTGAAGATGAGGATGAGGATGATGAGGATGCAGAAGAGAGTGGTGAAGAGGATGAAGAAGAAAGTGATGAAGATTAGGGCTGATGTTTCTTATCTCTAAGTTGTTGAGGGGACATGGTGCTACTTTTAATGTTATTTTTACATGCATCATGACATCATGTTTTGTTTAAATATTGCACAACTTGTCTCTGTTTTTGGATATTCCTAGAATATGCTTTCTTAGACTTTATGCTTATCTGACTTATGTTTTAATTGACTTCATTGAATTGGAATTTACTGTGCTACTATTCTTTCACTCCTTTGTCAATTTGTTACAAAAAGGGGGAGACCACCTATCAATGTGAGGGGGAGAAAATACTTGATTGGATATTTACTTCAGGGGAGTTTTTAATTTTTTATTAAACTTCACTGGTAGTTGTTGTTTGATAGCGTGCAGGAAACATGTCAAGTTTTGAATCCAAGAAGAACAATGTTTCTATTACCTTTAAGCAAATCATGTAATTTACTTTTCTGCTTTGGGTAGATTGCAAAAATTGTTTTTAGGGTTTTATCACGAAATTGCCAAAGGGGGACATTGTAAGATATTATTTATTTTTGGCAATTATCGTAGATATAACAAGTCCAAGTTGAGTTGTAATTTAAATTACTTGTTCTACAAGTCATCAAGTTCAATAGGGATTACAAAACTGGGAAGGAGTTCAAACTTACCATACTTGAAGAGTTTGTGATGAAAAGGGTAAGGACACTACATTAGGAAGGAATATGAACAAGGTTGGACATTCTACACTTTCCATGTTAGTCTACAATTTCCGTAGAATGAACCAAGACTGAAGGAATTCGAAATCCAAGTCTGCCAACCTTGAACCGATTCAGCTTCTTTGAACCGGTTCAAGATGTTCAAGTTTGATACACTGTCAAACTTGAACCGGTTCAGCTTCCTTGAACTGGTTCAAGAACTCCTGTTTGCAATACAACTTCAGTTTCCTTTTTCCAATTTATTTTCCAGTTGGTCTAGAAGTGTACCAAATCCTATACACGAAATTTACCTTATTTTCAGAGAGATTAGGTCATTCTATACTCTATATAAACCATGTCATATACATTGGTTTATTCACGGCTTTTATATTATAATTCAGATATTATTCAAAGCTTTAGGAAGTTTATTTCTCTTAGAAAATCAAAATTGATTTTTCTGTTGTCTTCCTAGAACCTACACATATTCACCTAGTGAGTCTAGAGTTGTGGTGTTCGAATCCTGATCGTGATCATACAGTTGTATTAACATTGATCAGACAAAGCAGATCTTCTTCTACATCATTCAGACGATTGAAGAACAGAAGTAATCGCAGTCACACTTTGGAAGGGTTGGAGTATTCGCGGAGTGCTGTCTGATTTACCTACTACTCTTCTACAAATATCAAGTGTAAGCCTGAGATCAAGTTGCTATTGGACGGGGAGTCGCAAAGCCAGAGGATCGTCAGTGGTTGGTGTGGTCTAGAACGATAGGGTGTGAGCCAGAGTTAAAGTTCGGTATACTTTGTTCCAAGCATAGTGGATTGGTTTACTTTGAATTGCACAGTCCATGAGGTTTTTCCCATAACAGTTGACGTATTTTATTAACTGGGGTTTCCTCGCTAAAATCTTGGTGTCATCTCTAACTTTATACTTTGCATTATTTTATCTGCATGTGATTAACTGTTTAATTGTTCAAATATAAAATAAACAAAGTTGTTAAGGATACAGATCTGTTTTTTACAAAACCTAAAACTCTCCTATATACATTCCGCTGTGTACGACTCACATAGTCTCTGTTTCAGATAAAGTTTGTTGGTGAGAGACTTCGTCATATACAAGCTTTCCAATTTCAACCATAATTTTGCCGCTGTGTCTTCGTCAATGACTTCGCGCAACACTTCATCACCCAGACTCAAAAGAATTGAACTGCGTGCTTTGTCATCAAGTTCTTCCTTGTCTTCATTTGACATTTTTTCTGGCAACTTGTCTTTTCCCAAAAGCACCTTCTTTAATCCTTGTTGGATGAGTAAAGCCTGCATTTTAATGCGCCACATGTTGAAACTAATTTTATCATCAAAATTTTCAATCTTGTATCTGGTCATCATCATAAAAAACTTCCAAAAAATTTCTCGATGAATAGTACCATATTTGTGAGCAGTACTAGTGAAAAGTACCGTACACTTGCACGGTATCTGTACACAATACCCGAACCCGAGCTCTGATACCAATTGTTGTGCGGAAGCGTTCCCGAACAGATATACCCACAAAGAAGGGATATCCAAGTAACAACCAGAATTAAAAATGACAGTAAAAATAACATGCCACAAGACAGGATTTATACGTGGTTCACCCTCTCAATAGGGCTACGTCCATAGCCGATGACGATCCGTATCACTATAAAGAAGAAGATTACAAATTGAAGAACTTTTTGGTTCTTCCCCACAATAATCTCTCTTCTCACACCTCTCACTCACCACAAAGAAGACTCACACAACACTCTCAAGAAAAAAACCCCAATATAGTATATTGTTTACATAAAGAGGAAAACCCACCCAAAGACAAGCTTCAAGTGAAGCACACACAAAATGATTTTTCTCACACACACTATGATCCAAATTCACCCTTTCTTGGATGCCTCTCAAATGATTTTTGGATGATTGAACCTATGAGATACAAGGGCTATTTATAGCCAAAATTCAAAGCCTGATGATGTAAGCGATGACATAGCTAAGCCTGATGATGTAAGTGATGACATAGCCTTCTAGAAATGAGCCATTTTCAACAGTTTTGTCGTTCTCACTAAGCAGCTCTTGATCAAATTACAGAACCACTTTTGGTTTTGAGTCGGGAAAGGATTAACGATAAAAAAGTCAAATAAGAATCGAACATTATAGCATATAGACTAGGAATTCAGCATCATGACACCTAAAGATTGGATGAAATACATACCTGCTTGTCCTAGAATGAACTGAAAGCTGGATTTTCCTTGTCTCCAGAACTTTAAGCTAAGAGTGCTGAGGGTCAGCAAAGCACCTCCGAAAAGTACACTGGTGCTTAAAGTGGCAGAATTTCTTGAAAAAATAAAATCAACAAGCCCCCCACATAACACAAGTCCCCCTGCAGCAAGACGCAATCAATAAGTGACAATATATGATTGTACAACAATTTTTTTATTTTTTATTTGGTGGGTTCGGAAGGGTGTAAGGTCCAATTAAACAGTGTATCAATATCTGAAATGTCATGAACCCAAGGGGTTGGCTCAAGTGGGTAAGTCACTTGGCCATGGGCTTCATGAGGTCTAAGGTTCAACTCCTCTTGGGTGCAAACAATTCCCCGGGGGGGTGTGTTGAGTATCATCAATTAGGAAATTTTTTTTAAAATGCCATGTAGTATGGCTTACGGAGAACAATTATAGAATACGAAGTTAATGGTAAACATAAACTATAGATTCACATCAACCAGAAAATCACGAAGCATTTACAGCTCACCATCCTGCATTTGGTGGTTTAAAACCCAAATTCATAATCCATATCTCAAAGCTAGCTTTTTGTACGTGCTATGCATCACATATAACATTGAACATGTACTATATAAAGTTGCTTCTGATTGCAAGCAATATTGAGAAATTATTGCCATCCTATATTTGTTGATCGAAAATCTAGTAGTTAAGATTTTTGAGGATTATTATACTCCTATTTTAAGTGACCAGTGCAACATAATCAAGAGGCCTCGAGTTCAACTCCTCTCAGATTAAGAAATACACATATGGCTTAAGGGAACAATCCACCACTCCCAAAGGGAGTGGGAACACCTCCATTTTTTTGTTTCCGTTTTCAAAAAAATAATAATAATAAAAGGAATAGGAGGTGAGTTAAACCCATCCCCTGCGACCAAAAAAAAAAGGGGTAGTACAAAACAAAAAACTAGGAAGAAGCTAAAGACAGCAAGGATACCCCATTAACTGAAGATTACGCCCTTTAAATCAATAGATAGCATTCTTTTACCCCTATAACTCAACAACTCACAGTAGAAGTCAATAATAATATTAGATGGAGCTACTGTTATAGTTTACATATAATACTGCATAAATTTTAGTGGCCATAACACATAGTTACACTACTGTTATAGTTTACATAACAGGCCTACAAGTAAAAACTGAAACATCGAAGGAATTACTGCATGCTTATAAGTCAGTAAACTCG